TCTCAACGATGTGATAAGGCCCCATATCAAACTCAAGGATTATTATTATTATTATTAATAGGGTTAATTGCTCTGGGTGTGGGTGTGCATCCCATTTCAAACAAGGCAAGTTTCCAAGAGGGGGGTAAAATACATATGTGGACAGTCCTAAATCTGGTGATTGGTTTCTGAGTGTGTCCGACACCTGGCTGAAACCAAAGTGTATTAAACAGCAGTTTACAGTGTGAAGGTCCCAGTGAGGACTCGGGAGGGTGGATAGTGGTGGACAGTCCATTACCATGAACTGAACGGATTGCTTTGAGCGGTACATGCTCTGCATACTTAGCCTCCCTCTGTGGAAGAGCTCCAGTACAGAACCTCTAACTATCGGAGAGGACTGTAGAAGACCAAGGCTGCTCAGGTGGTGACCAGTTATAACATTCAGTTCTGCCATCATTTTCTGTTGTCATAGTCACTACTCCAGTCAATGTGGGAAAGGCTCCGGCTTATAAAGACCATCCCCTTGCCCCCTTCCCCGCCTCCTCAGTGTTTGTCTACCGAATACACAGTCACTACACTTTACAGTGAATCTTGTGAACCGCACTGAAATGAAAGGTGTTAAATCAATTGCAAAGGATTATTATCACTGCTGTGATAGTAGCTGTGTTTCCCACCACAAAGCTCAAGGGAGTTCCTGGTACCTACCATCCACCTAGTGAGGGTCAAACCCACGCTTGTCGGACTTCAAATGACCAACTGGTGACTATCCTCCTTGGCTTGAACTGGCTCCAACTTGACATGTTTGCCAATGGATTGTCAGAATCAAGCCAACCGTGTGTGGCAGTCTTGCTAGCAAGCCATGGCTCCTCCTAACCTGCGCCTAATACTATCCGGAATTAGGTAAACAGGATGGAACCCTCCATTCCAATACATCAGAATTTCCATGCGTAGGTTGGATGAATACATGGAATTCTCAGTTTGGTTTGGATATTCTTAAGCATGGGGATGGGTGTCTGCAAGTGTCAGACATATGGCTAACAAAAAAATATTACTACTGTTGTAATTATTTCCATTATTATTATTATTGTTATCATTACTGTTATTGTTATTATTTCTATGATTACTACTGTTGTAAAAATAATATCCCTTACATTTGAAATAGCGTCTCGTCACATCCCAAAATCACTCAAAGCACTGTTCAGGATTTACTATTTAGTAATTGACTGTTTGTGGGACAAACTGTGTGCAATTTGCTGCTGCATTTCGCCAACAAAATACGCAGTTAATTCACCTCACAGGATATTCTGTGAAGCACTTTGAGAGTCTCAATGACGTGATAAGGTGCTATATCAAAATCAAGGATTATTATTACAGTGAAGTGCAGTGACTGTGTTTTGTGAATAGATGTGCCATCCAGTTTGCACGAATGTCCCACAGACAGCCATGAAGTCAGTGACCAATTTTATTTGGGGCATTGCTGGCCAGGACACCGGGATAGAGAGAGAGAGAGAGAGAGAGAAACTCTCTTCTCTTTTCGAATATCGCCATGGGATCTTTAACATCCACCTGAACAAACAGACCGAACCTCGGTTTAACGTCTCATCCAAATGATGGAACCTCCAACAATGCAGTGCTCCCCCAACACTAGATTTAGGCTGACATTATTATTATTATTAATATCATTATATTCCTTCATAGCTCTGTAATTATTTCTCTGCTGAAGCTTTCATGTTCCTTTCTCACATCTCTGGGGAATCTCAGTTTACTAACTGTACCCCGCTACCTTTAGAGTGACACTAATTAATGTGTTTACGATCAATGTTTCCTCCGAAATCAAAACCTTGTGTACCACACGGTCAAATAAAGTAAGAATATTTCCTCAAACCTCTTGAAAGCGTCTCGTGGAAGGGTCAGCACTGTACACAGTCAGTTTTATATTATAATATAATCCTTCCCTTTGGGACACATTATCTTTCAACAACAACGACAATAAACTTACATTTATATGGCACCTTTCATGTAGGAAGACATTCCACAGCGCTGGGACACTAGGAATACATCTCAAAGTAGAGCCATAGTTTGGCAAGATCCAAGGCTTGGGGATCCCAGAGTGTGCGTTGGGGTAACTGCTGGAGTCTAACCAGTTAAACCCGTATAGCTTGCCATTGGTAGTGCTGTCTGGCAAGCTTTTCCGCTGCTCTTGCCAACTTGTGCCAAATACTCTCCAGAATTAAGTAAGCAGGGTTCGTCCGTCATGAAGAGGATCCAAGAACAACAGCAATAAATACAACACGATTACATTTGTATAGCGCCTTTCACATCGGGAGGACGTCCCAAGATACAAATTCCATTGTAGGCACAGAGAGCTTTCCATGTGTAGGTGGTGTGTGGTGTACATAGTGATACTCTCGGTCTGGTTTGGATACTCGGACACACGGTGATGGGTTTCTGAGTGTGTCAGGGCTGACCAAAGATACAAGCTTACAGCAGTGACCACACACCTCACTGAGCACTCAGCCTGCTGTGTTGATTCGACTTGTCGGCCTTCCCAATTCTTCCCTCCACAAGCTGCAGATCATCCGGAACTCTGCAGCTCATGTCCTCCCCCCACCAGGCTCTGTGACCCCATCACATCCACCATCACCCAGCTCCACTGGGTCCCCATCACACAGAGGATCGAGTTCCAAATTCTCATCCTCACCTAAAAGGCCCTTCATGGCTTTGCCCCCTCCTACCTCTCTGACCTGCTAACCCCTTATCAACCTGTCCACTCCCTCCACTTAGCAGGCTCCGGCCGCCCCACCATCGGAGGTCGGGCCTTCAACTTCTCTTCCCCCACCCTCTGGAACTCCATCCCATATTCCCTTTGCCTCGCTCCCTTCCTTGCCTCCTTCAAGGCATGCCTCAAGACTCTCCCCTTCGACTGCGCCTTCAGCCATCCTCTCTGACCTCCACCCTCCTCGTTTGGGTTCTAATCCTTGACTGTTCAGATCCTTGGGACGTCCTCCCGACGTGAAAGGCGGTTTACAAATGTAATTTTGTATTGTATTGTATTTTGTATTGTGTTGGATCCCATTCTACACTTCAAATAACCCTCTTTCATTGTGTGTTTATAATAGGATTTGCATTTAATCTGTCCCTGGATTAATGTGAGCTGTATTCTTACATTGTCATTATACTGAACTGAGTTGATCTGTCTTGCACTCAGATCATTCTCATTATTCTGTTAGTCAGGCCCTCTGCGATTTGCTTTTACACCAGAACCTGTGACCTGTGTGTGTGTGTCTGCGTGTAAGACACTGTATCTCATTGCTTCACCACATACATATACACACACACATACACAAACAGACACCCTCACCCCCCCCCCCCCCCGCACCATCACCCACACACACACTTATAGACATCCTCACTACACACACGCACGCACACTCACTCCCTCACATCATCACCACGTACACTGTCTCACATCTTCACCACACACCTACACACACACCAAGACACACACCAACACACACACCTACAAGCACACTCCCTGAAATCTTCACCACACATACGCACCTACACATACACAGACACGCACACACACACACACACACACACACACAAGACACCTGGGAAGGATTTTTGAAATGATCCCGTGTGAAAACAAGTTCTTTCTCAGCCATAGGATTCAATAGACGACCTCAGGCATTGCCCTTCCCAGACACTGATCTCATCGCGATGGGCTGACAAGCTGCTATTGACAATCTGATCCACGTTAAGCCGGCCAGGCTGATAGTCCGTGCCTATGTGGATAGCTTAGTAGTTAGAGCATTCGTCTCGCAAGTGAAGAGGACCTGGGTTCAACTCCCGGCAGGGCGAAACTTTGGGCAACTTTCCTTACTCCACACGCCTCTGTTTACCCAGGAGTAAGTAGGAACCTGGTTGTTAGTCGATTGGCGGATCGCTTTTCCGGGGTCCTTCACTCCCATTCCCCCTCCCCCTCTACCTCTGCAACCTCCCAAACCGGCCGCTCACTTTGCCCAACAAGCACCAGCTTGCTTCATGTTCCCCCCCACCCCATCTGCCCCAACATCGCCATTTTGCCCCCGCTCTCTGGAGCTCCGTTCCTGGAGTCCCTCCGACTTGCTCCCTCCCTCCTTCCCTGCTTTCAAGGCATGTCTTTGACCGCACCATCAGTCATCTTTTCCGCCCCTCCTCCCACCTCTCTGGGCACCCACCCTCGTTTCAGGTATCCAGCCGACTGTTCAAGCACTTTGAGACAACCTTCCGACGTCAAAAAGGTGCTTTGTAAATGTTGGTATGTTTCTGGAGGGTAAAACAAAAATATTGCTTTCACAGCCCGCAGAGCTTTCTCAAACAGGGAATCTGGCTCTGGTAGCCAAAAGGTTAGACCATCCTAGCTTAGAGTATGTGAAAAGCACAGTACGGTATAACATACAAAAGATAGTTTAACAGTAAATATTCTTTATTAGGTATACCACAACTGTATATTACAGATGATGAATAGAATACATCAAAATTTATATCAACTCCACTGTCAAGAGGAGAATGGAGCATTATCAATACACACGACAGAAACAACACAACTTAGTGACCAAAATGAAGCCCACCATCTTCTCCCTCGACCCCATCCCCACTCCTCTCCTTCCCTCCGAGCTCTACCTCCTTGCCTCTCTATTAATAGACATCATCAACCTCTCCTTGTACACTATTCCCACCCTCTTAAAAACAGCCGTCATCCCCCCATCCTTAAAAAACCTTCCCTGGACCCGTCCCTCCTCTCCAACTACCACTCCATCGCCAACCTGCCTTTCCTTTCCAAGGTCCTCAAACAAGTCGTTGTTTCCCAGCTTCACTCCTTCCTCTCCTGCCCTCCCCCACCACCTGCAAACGCCTCCAATCGGGTTTCCATGCTGTCCACAGCACAGAAACAGCTTGGTCAAAGTGACAAATGGCATTATGTCCATCTGTGACCAGGACTCCCCCAGTCTCCTCGCCCTCCTTGACCTCTCACTCCTGCCTTCGTCATTGTTGACCATTCTATCCTCCTCCGCCTCTCCTCTTAGCTCAACCTTTGTGATGTGGTGGGTGGTGAGTGAGTGTGTGGTGATCAGCGAGTGAGAGTGTGTGGTGAAGCTGGTTGACGTGCCAGATGAAGTGATGAGTTACGTGGAGTGTGTGTGTTTGTGTGGTTTCAGGAGGACGGCAGACACGGCAGTGTTATAGTGACAGCTGGGGTCTGCCTCTCGGCCGCCTGTCTGTCCAGCAGCTCACAGACCTGCTCCTGGCCAGTCTCCCCATGCGTGTGCAAATGCGTGCGCGTGTCCTCGGTGCAGTTAGTAGCCATGTTCACTGCCTGGCCGGCATGGACCTTGCCGGCCCCCCTTTTGCTCAGCAGGCAGCTGAACACCTTTTTGAAGCCCTTGCGGAAATGCTTGGATACCAGGGCGTAGACGATGGGGTTGAGGCAGGAGTTGGCGTAGGCCATGCAGTGAGACAGCAGGCGGAAGGCGTAGGTGGTCTGGTTGAAGGGGAAGTGGCCGTAATGGAAACGCAGCATCAGGAGGTGGTGAGGCAGCCAACACAGGCAGAACAGCACGGTCACAATGATCAGCATCTTGGTGACCTTCCTCTTGGCTCTCTTGGATTCGGAGATGTCCTGGATGGGGCCCACTGCCGTCCACAGGTACTTGATGATCCTGGCATAAGACAGGATGATGATGGCCACCGGGACGATGAATCCGAAGACGAAAGTGGAGGTGTCCAGGACCCTGCGCCGTGGCTCCTGCCAGGCCGGCACGCAGACGTAGAACCACTCGTAGGGAATCAGGTCGTAGTAGCTGAGGTAGGGACCCGCAAAGACCACAGAGAGGCCCCAGATAATGACCATGACGGTCACCGCATTGCAGGGGGTGCGGAGCTCTCGGGAGCGGATGGGGTAGCGAATGGCCAGATACCTGCACACAGACACCACGAGGTTTCAGACCGACTCGGTGCACAGGGCATAACCGGTTCACAACACATCAGCCCGTCCGTCACCCTCTGTGTCCTCCCATCAACCCCAACAGGAGCAAAGAGAGGAGGGAAGACAACAACAACAACAAAAATACATGTGTATAACGCCTTTCATGTTGGGAAGAAGTCCCAAGGCACTGAGCAGACAGAGTTCCAGACCTGAGCTGAGGGTCGGGGTGGGGGAGAGTGGAGGGCGGGGGGGGGGGGGAAGTAGGGGGATTGAAAGCACGGTCGAAGAGGAGGGTTTTGAGATGGGTCTTGAAGGTGGCGAGGGAGGATGGGGCGAGACGGAGGGACTGCGGGTTGGAGTTCCAGAGGGTGGGTGCAGAGTGGCGGAAGGCCCGCCCGCCGATAGTGGGGAGAGTGAGGTGGGGGACGTGAAGCAGGTTGGAGCCCCCTGAGCGGAGGGAGCGAGCGGGGTGGTAGGACGTTAGGAGGTCGGAGAGAATGAAAGACATGAAAGAAATGAAGATGGAGGAGGAATGACTCGCGATCAGTCTGGTGACTGATCTCTTAATAATAATAATAAACTTACATTTGGTATAGTGCCTCATCACGTCTTCCAGACGTCTCAAAGCGCTTCACGGAATATGCTGTAAAGTGGAGTGACTGTATATTTTGTGGGCGAAATGCGGCAGCCAATTGCACACAGCAGCGTCCCACAAATAGTCATGGAGAGAGGTACCAAGTTATTTTTTTTGGCGGGTGGGGGTGGGTATTACAGTAGGGTTCCTACTTACTGCTGGGTAAACAGAGGTGTGTGGAGTAAGGAAACTTGCCTAAGGTTTCGCCCTGCCTGGGAATCAAACTCAGGTCCACTTGTTTGCGAAGTGAGTGCTCTAACCACTGAGCCACAGGACTTTCCTATTGCAGAAACTAGAAAGAGAGAAAGTGGTGGAAATTTTCCAGCCCCAATTCAAACCCACTGAGTGTGTGATTGTTTGATGTGAGTCAGACATGAGCCGAGAGTTATAATGACACCAAGTCCCTGCTCTCAGGCACTCTGTTGTCAGCACATCACAGGCTCTGGTCAGCTGTTCTGTAAATGGCCAATGCCAACTTGGAAGTTCTGGGGTTAGAGAGCCGCTATTGTGTAGGAGGAGATGTAATAATGTGGAGCCATTTCATCATAGACTCCGGGGCTCAAGGCCATCAGAAATAATCAGGATAATAACGATAATAATTCTAGCATGTGGAATATCAACATCAAAACATCTCAAAGCTCTTCACAGGAGATCCTGTAAAGTGCAGTGACCATGGATCTGCAGGCGAACCTGGCAGCCAATTTGCACACAACAATGTCCCACATGCAGCCACAATGTGAGTGAGCAATTTTATTTGGAGGATTGTCCGACTGACAGCTCTTTTCGTACAGCACCCCGGGATCTTTAACATCCACCTGAACAGGCAGATGGGACCTTGGTTTAATGCCTCATTGGAGTCCCAGCACTTTGGGACGTCCTCCCGACGTGAAACACATTATATGAATGCAATTTGTTGTCATTGTTGTACAGGGTAGGGAGACAGAGTTTATTGTGCGCAATAAACAGCGACGTTTGGCCAATGGGATTCACGTTTCCCGAGCTGCTCAGTAACCATCGCTATCCTACCTCAGCTCCACAATCAGATTACAGCCGTGTCAAACCATTGATTTATTGCACTTGCCCGTTCCTTTTCACAATCAAGTTTGACCAAGTGTCTGTCAGCTCAGCGCCCGCACCCCATGATGTGCCAGCGCTGGGTCGGAATCAATATCCCTTCACAGAGGATTACATTTTCTTTTTTTTAAAAAAAGCAACCGAAGCAGGAATTAGACTTTAAAGTGAAGTTGAGGCTTGTGTAACTCACCCTGTGAAATCATTCAACCTTCCAATCTTCACATTCACTGCACTGCCTTCATTTTATGTCTCTCCAAATCCCTCTATAATCTTACGTGAAACAACCACCTCTGGGATCAAGCCTCGCATCAGGACTTTGAGCTCACAGTCCAGGCTGATGTTAGTCCGAGCTCCCGTCTGCCTGGTTAGGCGGACAGTAAAGATCCCATTGCACTGACAGCATCAACATCTAAGGATGCACACTCCACCTCGCCGAGCCAGTCTGGAACCTCGGCATCTTGTTTGACCCTCAACTGTCCTTTCTACCCCACATCCGTGCCATGACCCTCTCTGCCTTCCCCCACCTCCGCAACATCGCCCGACTCCGTCACTGCCTCACCCTCATCCACGCATTCATCACATCTAGGCTCGACTACCCCAACTCCCTGTTTGTCGGCCTCTCCAACTCTTCCCTTCACAAGGTGCACATCATTCAGAACTCTGCAGCTTGTGTCCTCTCCCGCACTAGGCTCTGTGACCCCATCACCCTCACCCTCGCCCAATTCCACTGGCTCCCCATCCCCCAGAGGATGGAGTTCAAAATCCTGATCCTCACCTTCAAGGCCCTCCACAGACAAGACCCTCCCTACCTCTGCGACCTGCTGACTCTAAATCAACCTGTCCACTGCCTCCACTCGGCAGGCTGTGGCTTGCTCCACGTCCCCGCCCGGCCCACTCAGCCTTTCTGACCCACCCTATGGAACTCCATCTCACATTCGCTTCGCCTTACCCCCTCCCTTGCCTCCTTCAAGGCACGGCTCGAAACCCTCCTCTTTGACCGAGCTTTCAGCCACCCTCCTACCCTCCACCCTCCCTGATCTCGACCCCTAGCTAGGGTCCAAATCCCTGACTAACCAGCGCCTTGGGACATCCTCCCGATGTGAGAGGCGTGATATAAATGTAATTTTGTATTGTATTGAAAAAGAGAAGGGAGTTTCTCCAAGTAACCTGGCTGACCGTATTCTACATTAACTGCTCGCTGTTTGTGAGATTTTGTTGGAGCAAAATGGCTGCCACGTTTGGTCTACAAAATACAGTCACTTTTAGAATTACCTTCGAAACGCTTTGAGATCCCTATTTTGTTGAGGCTTTATCAATGTAAAGGTTATTATTATTCTATCCGCAACCACACCTTGTTATCTTCCGTCTTGTGCCGCGCTCCCTCACTCTCCCCAGTGGAGCCCGAGACTGCAGCCTCCTCCAAGCCCTCGCTACCTCTCCACCTGCTTCTAAAACAGCCTCCTGATGGACAATCCTTGGACCTGGGCTTCATAGAGCGAGTGACCATTTTATTTGGGGATTGTTGGCCAGGACACCGGGAGAGAGAAACAGACGGGACCTCGGTTTAATGTCTCACCTGAAGGACGGTACCTCTGACAATTCAACAACTCCCCCCAGCACTGGATTGGAGCGTCAGCTTAGACTGTCCCAATGTGGAGGCCTGAACCCACAACCTTCTGCCTCAGAGGCGAGAGCGCTACCCACTGCGCCAGGCAGTGTTCCCTTATAACAACAAGTGACGTCCGTTTACCTGTCAACGGCGACAGCAGCCAGAGTGAAGCTGCTGGCGTACATGGCCAGGTAGATGCAGAAATGGACGGCTTTGCACATGAAGGAGCTGAAGACCCAGCCCTCCAGGGTGTAGATGGTGGCTTGGAAAGGAACACAGAAGATGATGAAGAAGAAATCAGCCAGGCTGAGGTTCAGGATGAAGAGGTTGGTGGTGTTGTGCCCGGTCTGTCCGTTGCGGAGGAGGACGGCCAGCACCAGGCTGTTGCCCACGGTGCCCAGCAGGAAGATCAGCGAGAACACCACAGGCACGATCACACTGGCCGGGTTCTGCTGCCAACTCTCAGAGGAGTTCCAGTGGCCTGACATTGTCCCCTGCTCATCGGTCATTCACCCACACGATGGCGAGGGTGGTGGGGGGGGTGGAGTTGGGAGTGCGGTGGGCGAGGTGGTGGGGGTGGGGGGTGAGAGGCGAGCAATCTGGAAAACAAAAGCAAATTTGCAGGAAGGAGGAGGAGAAATCCCACCCACCCAGGCCACAGACACTTTACTAACGGAACATTCCACGACAGGCAGAATCCAGCAAATTCTTAAACACAATCCGTTCAGTCGGGAACCGCTCGAGTCTCGGAGTCAGAAGGTTGTGGATTCGGTCTTTGAGCTCACGGTCTAGGCTGACGCTCCAGAGCTGGTACGGGGTTCTGGATTTGTCAGAGGTGCCTCTGTTTAATGTCTCACCAGTTAAACGGAGATCCCTTTATAGTGAACCCCACTGTCTCTGGCTTCAGGAAGCAGCAGTTTAGCGGTTCCACTGTGTGTCAAACGCCAGTCGTCAGAATTGTTCTGTGAACAGTTTTATTCCTACTCTGACCTTTCCACTGGAGAGGCAGAACGGCAAAGATTAATAACACTGACAAGAACCACTTCACCTTCTCCGCCTGAAATTGAAATTTATTTGAGGATCACACACAACACACCACACACATGCACACACACCACACAAACCACACACACACACACACAAACCACACACACACCACACACACACACGGGCTGTGTGCAGCAATCAGCAAACAGTGCAAACATACATATACAGACAGGTGCACACATGCACACGTATGTAGATACACACCTGCTCACACACGTGTACAGATGAGGGTGGGGGCGAAAATCTGCAATGGGTGGAGGGGGAAAGCGGCAGGTATGGAGCAGGCAGAGCAGAGGGAGTGGGCTGGGGAGGGGAGGGGGTGGCTGGGGAGAGAGGGTTGCAGGAGATCAGAGAGATGGGGTGTGGCAAGACCATGGACATTTAAAGATGAGGTCAATGATGATCATATTAATAATAATAATGCTTGCATTTGATATAGCGCCTTATCACGTCAGAAAGACGTCTCAAAGACCTTCACAAACTTGTCAGCACAATTGCACCTCAGTCCTTGGGCCTCAGCTATTTACCATCTACATCAACGATCTAGATGAGGACATCGAAGTTAATATATCTAAATTCGCAGATGATACAAACAGTCGTAGATTGAAAATGACCAATTTTATTATATTGTTTTTGGTTTTTGGAGGGATTAGGAGGAAGTGTCAACACAGAGGACGACATTAAAAAAATGCAGCGCGACATAGATAGGTTAGGTGATTGGGCAGGTAGGTGGCAGATGAAGTATATTGTAGGGAAGTGCAAAGTCATCCACCTCGGGAGCAAAAACAGTAGAGCGGGTTATTTTTTAGAAGGGGAGAGATTGGAATGTGTTAGCGTCCAGAGGGACTTGGGTGTCCTTGTACACCAATCACAGAAAGTTAGTCTGCAGGTGCAGCAGCAATTAGGAAGGCGAACGGTATGTTAGCATTCATTATGAAAGGATTAGAGTATAAGAGTAGGGAAGTCTTGCTGCAACTGTATAGGGCCCTGGTGAGACCACACCTGGAATACTGTGTGCAGTTTTGGTCTCCTCATTTAAGGAAGGATGTACTTGCCTTGGAGGGGGTGCAGCGTAGATTTACTAGGTTAGTACCGGGGGTGAAGGGGATGAGTTACGAGGAGAGGCTGACCAATATATTCTCCAGAATATAGAATATAGAAGAATTAGAGGGGATCTTATAGAAACCTATAAGATCATCAAAGGGCATGAGAGAGTAAATAGTGGGAGATTGTTTCCCCGGTTGGAGAAACTAAAACCAGGGGTCACAACCTTAAAATCAGAGGCAGCCCTTTCGCACTGAGTTGAGGAAGAACTTCTTCACTCAAAGGGTGGTGACTGTATGGAACTCACTACCACAAAGGGCTGTTGACGCTCAGTCCTTGAACATATTCAAGACTGAGATAGATAGATTTCTTATTGCAAAAGGGATTAAGGGATATGGGGATAAGGCAGGGTCAGGTTATTAGCTGGAGTTAGATTAGAAGATCAGCCTTGATTGAATGTCTGGGCAGGCTCGAAGGGCCGAATGGCCTACTCCTGCTCCTACATGTTATGTTAATGTCCTACAAACAGTTATAGAGAGAGTGACCAATTTTATTTGGGTGACTGTTGGCTAAGACAACGGGAGAGAGAAACTTCCTTCTCTTTTCGAATAGCGCAACTATAGGATCTTTAACATCCACCTGAACAGACAGGACATCAGTTTAGCATCTCATCTGAAGGACAGCACCTCAAAATCACCCCCCCCCCCCACCCAGAGCTACACTGGAGTGTCAGCTTAGACTATGTGATTCCGAGTGTCGACTTGGGATTTGAACCCACAACCTTCTGACTCAGAGGCAAGAACGCAACCACCGAGCCCGGCTGACACACAGATTATTTCCATTTGCTGTTGGCTGACACCCGTCAGTCACTGCTGTACGCTCCACAGGTTGTCACTGTGGACAGAGGAGCTAGACAGAGACTGGCCAAGCTATTCCATTCAGAAGTAGTGTATATGGGTTCGTGGGAAAATCAGCCTTGAGAGTTCTGTAAGGGATTTGACAAACCAAGGAAATCCATCGAAACCTGCGTGTGATGTAACTGCTGTATTCCCATAGCGATTTCTCCACACGTACGTGAGAGGTTGGTTGAGCTTCTGGGATAAAGGATGTCAATAAAGCCGACAATACTGACTGGGGTTCTGTGAGCAAACCATCTGCCAGACTCGCCTCACCACACAGCAGCAGCAATAACAACAATATAGGTGGCACCTTATCGTGATATCAAGATGTCTCAGCCTCTCGGCCCCCACCCTCTGGAACTCCATCCCACGATCCCTTCACCGTTTGCTCCCTCCCTTGCCTCCTTCAAGGCACGACTCAAGACCCTCCTTCAGGAGCCCTCCTACCTCTCTGCCCTACCTCACCTCACCTATGCACCCTCCCCCATCCCTCCACCATTAACCCCTCACATACTCGGGTCCTGATCCCTAACTGTTCAGCGCCTGAGGAAAACCTCCCGACGTGTAAGGCACTTTACAAAGTAATTTTGTTGTTGTTGACTGAAAGCACTTCACAGGTTACATTTCAAAGTGCAGTGACTGTGTATTTGGTGGGCAAATGTACACAGCGAAGTCCCACAAATAAGCGAGTGACCAATTTTGGGGGGGATTGTTGTCCAGGACACGGGGAGAGAAACTCCCCTTTTCCAATAGCGCTGTGAGATCTTTGATATCCACCTGGGACCTCGGTTTAACTTCTCATCCAAAGGACGGCACCTCCAACAACGCAGGGCTGCATAAGCATTCTGGGACGCTGCCCTGCATGAGGGGTGCTACATAAATGCAAGTTGTTGTTGTGTCACCTTGGGTAATGTGATTCCGAGGCCCTACATGGGGTTCAACCCCTTAACTTTCTGACTCGGAGGCGAGAGCCCTACCACTGAGCCAGGCTGACACCCAGTATAACACCAGCACCACAGCCACTCCAGCCCAATTATAAACCTGTAACACAATCACCACCCCCTCTTCTTCCCCCCACACACACACCAGACATCCCAAACACCATACACACACACACACACCTCCCACCCCACCACACACACACACAGACAACAACACATTATATTTATATAGCACCTTTCATATTGGCGCTGGACAGTCAAGAGATTTAGACCTGAGTTAGGGGGTTGGGATCAGGAGGGGTGGTGGGCAGGAGAGGGGAGGGTAAGGAAGGTGACCGAAGGCACGGGCGAAGTGGAGGATCTTGAGACAGGCCTTGAAGGAGGCAAGGGATGGGGGCGCAAGGTGAAGGGACTGTGGAATGGAGTTCCCGAGGTTGAGGCCAGCGAGGGTGGAGGCACCCTAGGAAAGTGATCCACCAAACAACTAACAATTTCTACTTTACTGCTGGGTAAACAGAGGGGTGTGGAGTAAGGAAACTTGCCTAAGGTTTCGCCCTGCCCGGGAATCAAACTCAGGTCCTCTCGCTTGCGAGGCGAGAGCGTTAACCACTGTATTTCTTTGGCCATTGTCCACATTCGTAATTACAGTTTTGATTCACCAAAACCCACTTACATTAAAGCCAAATCACACTAAGAAACATGAATATTTCATGTAATTAAAATCAATACTTTTTTTTATTGGATCAGACAAAGAAAAGCTCCAACTTCCCATGAGCAACAATCATGCAAACAAATAATAGATTTTGTGGCAGAATTTTCAGATTCTCTCCCTGGCTTTGCTTCTCTTGTTCTCAGAGAGGAGAGGAGAGGGGTGTTGGGGAGGGGGTTAGGGTTACATCTCAATCAGGTAATAAACTCACTGTCTCAGCAAAAGTAATGCTTACACGAGGGAGGAGGGAATAGAGGGGTTTAGGAGGGGTGGGCTCCTGTGGAGTATAAATGCTTGTAGAGTGTATGTAATTCTCCGTGACCAGAAATGTAAACGTTCTATATTAAGTTAATATTGTAGCTGGATTTAGAAGCGGCGCTGAGGGAAAAGCTTTCTCTGCACTTTAATACATTCACAGTCCCTCTGCACACAGACATACCAACCCTCCCCCCGCACACTCCTGCACACACGCACACACACGCACACGCACACGCACACAGAACCCTCACATAACAAGCGGATGGTTTGATCTCGCAGCTGATTGTGAAGCTGGGGTTGGTGTGTGAGGGCTGGAGGTGCTGGGGTTTCTCCCACAAAACACAGTCACTCCACTTTACAGTGTATCCTGTGAAGCACTTTGAGACGTCTCAATGACGTGATATGGCGCTATATCAAATGCAAGGATTATTATTATTATGATGAGAAACACTATTTCCTTACAGAGAATCCAACTGTTCAGACAGACAGGCTTCACCCCATCCTCTCGGGGTTTTGCCTCTTATTGGGGTCCTGTAGCTCAGTGATTAGAGCACTCACCTCGCAAGAGAGAGACCTGGGTTCGATTCCCG